TAAATTAAATACCCAGCTTAATTGATATACTTAAAATAAAAAAAGTATGTAATACTAAAATAAAACTACTCACGTGTGCCGCTCGTGCTGTCCTTGTGCTTGCGCTAAAACCACTTAGCACTTCTTTGAAGTGATACTGCGTATGCGTTGGCAGCGCATTGCGCCTTCCATAGACACCAATCGAAGCGCCACGCGGTATGGTATAATCGAATTTCACATAAGCCGGTTCCGATTGATAGAATTGCATATTCCAATAGCTGTAGGGTTGTATCTCCTTAGTCAACTTTTGTCCCAAAGTAATTTGCCCGAAAGTAGTGCCATCTGGTGGGAAACTGCGTGCTGGAAAAGTACGCGCGCCTACACCGCATTACGCGAGCATTGAGTGAGTGCGCGTGAGCAGAGAGCGAAAAAAATGAATGCGCACAAATTGCAGCAATGAGTGATGGTGTGAGTAGCCGCCGAAGTGATGAGCGCGATGCGAGTGGAAAAACATTTGCGAACACACACATAATGATGAGAGAGAGAGAGAGAGAGAAGAGAAAAGGGAAAACCACGAATTGTTTTTAGACATTTACATGGATTTTTTCGTTTAAATATGAGCAGACTTATGCTTAAATAATTTAATATAGGCGTAATTTATACAAAATTTACAATTTTTGGGGTAAATTTACAAAATCCAGATCTTCTCTGCTAATGTGTTTTCTGAAGATCTTTTGGTTCTACACACAAATGAAGTATGAAATCGTGGTGTTCTACATATCGTCGTTTAAAGTACAAAACGGCGTATCAACAAAATGCAAAACCGCGTATGTGAGGTTGCATAAATTATTTTCTAGAGAGTAAAAACACTCATATTTCAAAATGGTTCTCTTTTTTTATAAAGCAATCGCATTTCTGGGTAGTATATTTCAGGACCACGATTGAGAGAAATAGAGGTTGCGCCAATCACGGTACCACTATTCCTCTCTCAGTGAATTTGACAGAATCGTTGTTTGTATGACGTCCCACTTGTGCAACTTGTTTACGTTTTCCTTGCAACATTTTTTCTTCTTCCTCCATTCTTGCTCACGTTTTCGCATTTCTCTCTCCCAATCGCACGAGTGTGACGTCACACAAAATTTTTTCTCAAAAATCCTCTCTGATAGGCGCAATCTTGTATTCTATCCAGTGATGCCAGATTGTGGGTAATTTCCCTATTTGAGGGATATTTTGCATCAAAAATTATTAAAAGGGAAAAAAGGGACACTTCATATAAATAACGGATTTTCTTTTGACGCAGTTATTGTTGCATAATTGATCAAAATTCAAGAATATTCGACATTCTTACGTAATTAATCGTTCTGAAGATGTGATGTGGAGTGAAATGGTATATAATTGTTAAAAAGTACAAGGACAATTTCGAAAATTTTCTTACGTTAACCAATTCAAGCGCTGAGTAAGAAAGAATCTTTTCAGTTGTAACTGGTGTTTCATGTAAAAAGCGGAACAAATTATCTGATGAAATGTTAAATAGCACATGAATGTGCTTCAATTTTAAAGTCCCCAAAAAATTCTTTTAGGCCCTTACTGAGTGAGCAAAAAAAATGAATGAGTGAAAAAAATGCAGAAAAAGGGGTTTTTTCTTAACAGCGGTCGGCCCTCGACAGGCAATGGCAAACCTCCGAGTGTATTCCTGCCATGAAAAACAGCTTTTCATAAAAATTTACTCGCCATTCGGAGTCGGCGTATAACTGTAGGTCCCTCCCCTTTGTGTGACAACATCAAGGGGGCCGCCACAAATTGGAGGAAAAGCACATATGTGTAAGCGCCAAACTGTTATTATTATTTTATATGAATTTTACTTCTTTACTACTGAAACATGTATATGTTTAAATTCGTTGGGAATTTTGTGGGATAAATTTTCAAGATGTGGGTAATTGAGGGATTTTTTCCCCATTTCCGTGGGATATTTAACAGAGAATGTCTGGCATCACTGATTCTATCATTCTTGTTTCAGGACGAATGGATAAAGATTGAGCCAAGAGCTTGTGTGAGCAAATCCAATTTTTGGAAAAATATCAATTATGCGGTTTTGCAGAACGACGATATGCGGCTTTGTACTTTAAACGACGATATCATTTCTTTATACTGTGAACTTGCAGAGTATGTCAATTTAAGTTGGAAAACGTTTCTTCTACCTAGAAGGTACTACACATTCTGTTGATTATGTCAGAGCTTCCCTTGCTGATGAACTCTATACTTTACTGTGAGCATTCGTACTAGTGTCGATTTATTTTTCAATAACAGATGAGTATGTCGTTGGTTTTTAAATAGTTTAACCTTCATTGATCATCAATATGAAGGGCATTGTTCCTCTGCGCCCTTGGCTTGCTCTTTGCTTTGTTCGAGGTAAGGCCATACATATATACACTTAGGAGAGCGCTTGGGGGATTGCAAATAGTACGTTTACATGTGTTGCCTAACTCTCCCTGCATATATGTAATTTTCAACCAACTTATTTTGAAACGTAGTCATATTCCTAATATCGGTAGATGTAAATTTTTAGTCTACGTAATTTGAAAAAATTACTTTGAAATAGACGCGAAAAACTTTAACGAAGAACTAACGAATTGTGACTGAGCTTTTATTATGAAAATTGTATGTACATGTTGGGTATGATTATGAATAGCAATAGTGAATAGGTAGTCGTGATGATTTCAATTTCGCTTTTGGATGATGTCATGATTTGGGTTTTGTTTTCCACTGCCAATTTCTGTACTCCAGGTGATGATTATGGTATTAATGCATATGAGATAGTTAGCAGTAATGAGTATTCAATTCAAATAATTTTTTCTTAAATACTTAATAAGTACTAGAGAATTGAAAATTGTAATACTTATATACATATATAGAGATAATCTATTAAGCACTCGAATAAGTTCTTGATATTTTTTGGAGTGAGTCCTTGATGTTGGATCTATCGTCTTTTTTTTTGTTTTTGAAGGAAGTACGGATACTTACGAAAGAGTGACTTATATCTCCTGCTTGTTTATGGTAAATATTTTGATATTTATTTCACTAAGTCATTGAGCAGTAAAAGTTAAATCAAGTGGTACTAGTAGGACGAAGTTTTTCGCATTTAATGTAGTTATGTGTTTACACTAGGGTGCATCATCCTCCATTCAAAAAAAATCGCTACTGGGTTTCCATCGGAATTATAAAATTTATTATATTTTAAGACTTGGCAAACATATTTTGGTAAAATATTAAGATTTACGTGAGATGGAACGTTCTAAAAAAACTGCAAACAATTTTTTTGAAGTGAAACTTCTTTAGTGGCGGTTGGTTGGGGTTGGGAGTAATGGGCAAATTCAACGGAAATTGCACACGGATATGGTGAAACGGAAATGGTTGGGGCTGAAACAAGAGCTTCTTGAGTGTATGCAAATGGTATTAATTTAACAAAAACATGCTAATAAAAGGCTAAAGAATAACACTTAGAAAAAGACTAATACAAGAATGAAAGTAAAGGAGAGTACGTACATAGATAAAGAGAAGGATAAAGGCAAAGGAAAAAATAAAAACAAAAACAAAGATGCGTAAAGATAAAGGCAAAAATTAAGATCAAGGTAAATTTAAACCGATAAAAGTAGAGATAAAGATAGAGTAAGAAAGATTAAAATAAAGGTAATTATAGAAAAAAAAATATAGATGGAGACACAGACACTCATTGTGTGAACTACTTTGGGATTTTAGAGATTTTTGGGATTCTCGGGACTTATCGATACAATAATCGATTTTTTTATCGCTGTTGTTATCGATATTTTTATCGATTTTGTTATCGAAATTATAATCGATATTATTATCGATTTTGCTATCGATATATTCGGAACTTATCGATATTTTTATCGATTTTGTTATCGATATTTTTATTGATTTTGTAATCGATACTGTTACTGATTTTGTTATCGATTGTTTATTTATTTTGCTACCGATTATTTATGGATTTTATCATCGATATTTTTATTGATTCTCTAGGCGATTTTTGTTATCGCTTGTTTATCGATTTTGCTATCGATATTGTTATCGATTTTGTTATCGATATTTTTATAGATTTTCTAATCCATTTTGCTACCAATATTATTATAGATTTTGCTATTGAAATTTTTATCGAATTTGTCATCGATTTTGTTAGCGATATTTTTATCGGTTTTGTTATCGATATCTTGTTGGATGTTACTATCGATTTTGTTATCGAAAGAGTATAAATATAAAAATGAAGATAAAGAAAAACAGAACATAAATGTAATTAGAACGAACAGGGTAGAGGTAGGGATCAAGATATAAAAAAGACAAAAAAATATATTCTTGAGAAAAATCAGATGTATGTATGTATGTATGTCTGTATGTATATTGGTTATGAGACAAAATAGATATGGAACCTAAATTTCACTTCTCCAGTGTGGCCCAAGCGCACTTACTTAAAAAAAAAAAAATCACCTCAGATGATAGAAGAGTTTATTCTTAAAAGGTCTCCATAAATATGTTAAAACATTTTATTTTTTAGATTTTTGGAGGTATTTTATCTTACCTCCGATCGCAGAAATTTTTTTTACACAAAATCTTCAAAAATTTAGTTGGTGGTGGGGCATGGCATCAGGCTGCCGCATGACTAAACGAATAAACGATCTGTGAGTTTTGACTAAGTCCACGCTTTCACTTTTTTTAGAGTTTAAAGCATTGCTTAAATAAGAATTCATTTGAATTGAGCACCGGCTATACTTCGCCGGAATATCAAACATAATTGCTTTCAGTGAAAATTCACGTACAGCGACTCAAACAAGTGTTCACATGTTTTTTGTTTTTAATATTCAAAATTTTTTTCAATCTAAAATTTAATTGTTATTTTCTAGTACAAATGTTGTTTTTGCTTTAGCCAAAACCATACAAATCAAAGTTTTAAACCCTATACAAATTTAGAAAACCGTAAAAATCCACCCGATTTTTCGGCGCTTGAAACTTACTAAAGTTTAATGCGCTATTAAATTATATACCCAAAAACTTTCTAAAGATTTCTGTTAAGTTGTTCGAAATTTTGAATGTAAAAACATTTTTTTGTTAAATTGAAAAACATTTGTATGGAATTTATAATTTTAAAACGCTTATCGGCAGTTTATCAATATGAATATCCCTATTATGAGTATTAAAGAAAATCAACATGTGAATACTTCTTTGAGTCTGTAATTTTCAAAAAGAATATAACTTATTCGAGTCTTCAATAATTTCAATATATGATACTAATAAATAAGTAAGCGATTTTATTTTATAAAGGCTAACTTACATATATAATTGTTTAGGCTTTTTTACGTTATATTTATATATACATATATATTTATGTTTATGTAATTTAACCAACCCATTACCGTACCGTATTAACAAAATTTTATACAAATGTAGCACTGTAATAAATTTAATGAAAGTGATGGTTATTACTTTATAATTATGAAAAGCTAAAACTTCCTCTGCCACAGTGATGGGCAAAACGTTGTACGCGCGCTTAGCCATTTTAAGCTTTCTATGCGTTTTATGTAGACCAGTAACGAACATCACATAGCCCGAGGGCAAAGCTTACAGTAAATTTTATGTTGGCGCCCCCCACAAAGGTAAAATCTCTCTCTGCCCATCACCGCTTTGCCGCCATAGCGAGACAACTCGTTAGATTTAAAATGATGAGATTAGTAAGCCTCGATGTACACGAATCACTGATATATATATTTTTTTTTTAATCTACTTTGTTAGTCTACCAAGCATGTGCCAGTGAAAGAGTTAGTACGTTCCTTTAGTTACCATATACCATAAAAAACAATCACCTTCAAGTATCAGAATAGGCATAACATCAGGACATGCAATTTTGCTGCCATCACCAACAACAACATGATCATCAAAACCAGCGCCATGCGACGCATCAACACCAAGCAAATTAGTAAATGAAGTGGTGATAGTGGTAGTAGTGGTAGCTGTTGTTGCAATGATAGAATCATCGGTAGCACTATCAATATTGGTTAGCATAGCAGTTGTGATTGGTAAGGGTGGTGGATGTATGGAATCGTCGTAAGTAGTGGTCGAGGCAGAAGTGGCAGTGCGATAATTCTGTGTGGCTTGCGTGCTAAAATCGATGTCTTCAGCGAGATCACCATCATCGATAGCGCTCGCTTCTGTGTGTGTCAAAAAATCGCTACATTTGCAAGGACATTCTGGTATTGGTGGCGGTGGTTCGGGTATGCAATATGGACTGCTAGTATGGGAAGGTGCTGCTGGGTGTTCATGCCCTTCGCGATTTTGCTCGTCACTCTTCAAGCGCTCATGAGTAAGTACCTCTTGCAGATCATGCGACTGACCACCTAACGGCACGGCGACATGCAGAGTATACACTGAGTTGCTGTCACCCTCGGTGGCTATCGTTACATTGACCAGTATATGCTTGCTTGGTGGATCATAATACTCACTCACTATGGGCGCTTTGAGTGGAAAGTGTGGTAGTTTTTCAGCATAACTGGTAGGTGCATCGACGTCTTCGGCGCTTTTGAGTACTTCGTTTTCGAACGCATTTGGCGCGGGGTGCTTAGGCGTAGGCCGACTTGTGACCACTACCTTACGTTTGCTATATATGTGATGCGCCTTATCACGCGCATTTGTATTACCCTCAATAGTTTTGTAGATTTCATCTTCGCTGGAGTGTGTATCCTCTAGCTTGATGATATCGATGTCGTCCGCAGCAGCAATGCGTTGAGCATTGAGTTGCGGGTAGTCATTAGCAGGAGCATTCGAATTTAAATTTGAATGTAAATTGCGTTGTATGTTGTTGTGGTTGTTGTTGTTGTTTTTGTGATTGCTGAGCACTTGTGTATAAGTATTTGTTTTAGTATTACTGTGCAGCGGCATTAAACCGTCATTAAGCATCAGCTCATCATCTTCAAAGCTGCTTTCATCAACAGCTGTTGACGCACTTTTTGTTTGGATTAAATGGGTTTTGCTTGTTGTAGCTTCCATTTCAGCTACATTTTCGGTTGCTTCGCCTTCAAATGTTTCATCTTTCTCGTTACTGGCTTCAGTTTTTTCTGCGGGTTGCGCAGTGGGGGCTGCTCCATCTACTACTTCTATGTCGGTCATTT